GGCTGGCAGGGAAACTGTCATTTCCTTTCAATCCAGTTCCAATGCTCTAGGTTCCAATGCTTAGAATGCGGGATGCACTAATCGCTTTCACACTGCAGGTAGATGAATGCAGATTTCCCAACGAAAAAAAAAAATTATCTTCTTCAGATGAAATGAAAAATTATCTTCTTCAGATGAAATGTATGCTACAACTATATAATTTTGTAGTAAGAAGTGTTCCATCTTATGATTAAACTAGTTTTTTAAACTTGCACGTAGATTATGTACTAAAAATAAGCGAAGCAATCAGAGTTAAAATATATTCACTTGTCATCGTATCAGAAAATTCAGCGAGTTAAAATATTCAAACATTTCCTGCAAACAATATATACATTTTCATTTTTAATAGCATTTTTATTCTGATGTTGAAGAGCAAATTAAATAGAGTTTATTGATTACAAAGAAACTTAAAAACTTTACTAAACAGCTCTTCCGGATTCCAAAATGAGTGTTATTACTTTTACACCTCTGGTAATATTCATTTCTGGAGAAATAGCAATTAGTCACTACGTTTGTACTGCGCTAAAGATTTACAATGCATGAGCCAAGAAATTTTTTATTTATTTTTCTTCTATGTGGCTTTGCAAATAGCAGTCCCAGAGTTGATCTGCTTTACATCAGGCATATAAGATGTTTAATCTTTTTTAATCACTTCATAGTTTTTGGTTCAAGAAAGAAATGCAGATTCAAACCCTGGAGCTTTAGAAAATAAAATCCTTGTTGAGTTTTAATGTATTCAGTAACAAAAATTTAGTTTTATCACTTAGCGATATAAGATATTACTTTGTATGGTAGTTGTTCAATGATTTATATTGCTACACCATTTTTTCTTTGAAAGCAAAATTGCATAAATAGGAATCCATTGATATTTCAGAAAGTAAACATCTTTGTCGAATAGCGAAATATTTCTTCACTTTTTTATGATCTACATTTTCAGAATGAAAATTTTCAAAAAATCACCTTTGAGATATCAAACTGTTATGTGAAATTTTCAAATCTTAAGCTATTTACAGTTGTTTTCTTTGGGAGTAATGAAGCTGGGAATAAAGACTCGTACTGAGTTGATGAATATTAGTGAAGATTCACATTGAGGATTAAATTCAGCAAACTAAAAAGTGGTACACATCTGAATTCCTGTAGACATGCTTAGTATTCCAATATCTTATTTGATTCCCTCCAAAACAAAATTCTCATATAAAATTAATTACTTTCTGAACACTACTAGCAACTGAGTGGTTAAGGCCGCCGAATGCTGTTAGTTCGACTTCAGGCGATCGATCTGACCCCATGGTCGGTTTTCGTTGCTTCCCCCCATGTGGAACGTGAATACGAGACAATTTCCTCTAAAAGATCTCCACAAAGGCGTCTTTTTCCTTAGGTAGGCAGCCTTCGTGTACTTTTTCCATATTCAATTAACCTAAATGGTGTCTAATTTCTGAACGAATTGATATAGATATAACATTATAGACGCAAACATATAACAATGAATAAATTAATAAGTTTTGAAACTTTTTTGAATTAGAAAATGTTCCATAATAATTGCTTTAGTAAAAATTTGTACAGTCAAAAGTCGTTAATTCGGACACCCATAATCTGGACCTCAAAGCTACAAACTTTCTGTGCATGCGTCGCGTTGATGCATGCGCGTAAGACCTTTAGGGCTGCAAATATGCGTGTGCACATGCGCATAATACGTTTACGCATGCGCGTTTAATGTATAACGGACGGCATAAGCTAAGCTAAAATTATCTAATTCAGTTAATGTTGCAGATTACGTTGTTCCTTAATCTTCGAATTGGATCCGGCTTATTATTTTTTGCAGACTGTTAGAGCAATTTTATAAAAGTAAGCTTGAACTTTCGATGTCAAAAAGAATTTCCGATATATATTTACTAATATGTAAAGGATCTACAAAGCAAAAGTATCTTTTGAAGTCCATTAAACAAAAAGTGGAATTGCTGCAAAAAATGGATAAAAGGCATTCCGAAATCTGTTTATCAATTTCACGCTGCTCTGTGGTGGCAGGGGGAGAGGGAAACGCCGCGGCTCTCGCAATGAATTGGAAGTTGATCTGTCAGCACTATCCTTATCTTCAGGGCAGATGTTTTTATTTTATTTGGCATATAATTCCTTACTAAATGTAGTATTTCATCTCGATGTACTCCGTCTTTGATATGATTTAAATCAAATTCCTCATCATTATAATTCGCTTCTGATAGTGAAGAAAGTGACACAGAGGTTATTGAAAACGAAAAAATTTCGATTGACAAATTAGTCGGTATTCTCGACACAGCAATTATAGGACTTGAACAGCGAAACTTTGTAACTGAATACGAAATTATGTCTGTTTATAGAATTAAAGAGAAAGTATTATCACATAAAATGAAGCAACTTAAACAACTTACATTAAAAGAAATGTTTTATTAAACATTATAACTTTATTAAGTAAACAAATAAATATTAAGCTTTTTTTTTTTTTTTTGTAAATTTTGATATACCCTTTAGACCATAATTGTTTTTTATTTCATAAATTACAGTTTCATATTTTTAATTTTATAATTTCTGCATGCGATCTTACCAGATTTAAACTGATGATCTATAATCCGGAAAAATCGATAATCCGGAAAAATCGATAATCCGGAATCGCCGAAGTCCCGATGAATCCGAATTAACGACTTTTGACTGTATTTCATTTGTCCCACAATTAAAATTGATTTTGTCATCAAAATTATTCATAAAAGGGAATAAATGCTCATAAGTTTAGCTTTCTTATTTCGAATATAATTTTATTTTTATTTGTCGAATTAAAGAAAGTGTTATCTACCTAAGCGAAAGGGGAGAAAAGTTAATGCAGTCAATCCGTTCATCGGAATTTGAATCCAGGTTAAATTATCAGAGTTAAAGAAATATTATCTGCTTGGCGGCTAGTTATCATTTAGAACATAAACCAAAATTTCACTCAAGTAAGCAGTAGTCATAGAATGTGTGTCATTTAGAAATAACATTAAAAGTAATTTTCATCACCTGAAACATTTATATTTATTACACTGCCTTAACATGCACATTAAAAAATGGAATAAAGTGGTAAAAACACTTGTGAAAAGAATTTCAAATTCAAACTGAAACCAAATTAAAAAGAATTTAATCAGAATCAACTGAAAAAATTGTGCATTTTTAACTATTCAAGCTTTTAAAATAATTTCCAAAGAATTTCAGCAGACGAACTTCCGAAAATACTTCCTTCTTTGATATTTAAGCTCCAAGCCGTATTTGCGCAGGAAAAAACCTGAAAACGCAAATGCGTGTGGATCGAAGTAACAAATTATTCTTTTTATTTTCTTTTCTCAACAAAATATTTCCTAGAAGATACCATATTTGCCAACAACACATGTGAATTCAAAACACGGACAATTTTCCCCAATCCATTAGCGGAATCTAACAAAAGAGTGCACTCTACGGGGTGTCATAAAATAGTCATCAAGCCTCAAGCGCTAGAGCTCCTACCCCTGCCACCAACAACAAACTGCCCCGAGCCCCCAGTTGCTGCATATTTATTTCGGGACACCTATGACCCAGCCCCCCCCCCAGGGAAAAGGAAAACAATGTTGTAAAAAAGATTCTTGTGTAATGAATGCTTTTTTTTTTTTTTTTTTTTTTTTTTTTTTTTTCATTCAGTTAATCATGTTGATGTGCAGATGCTTTTGCATTTGTATTTCTTTTTTGGGTGAGTGATTCTTGTTTTTAAGTTGCTGACACTTGGCTACTCTTTCCTTAAAGTCTTGGAATAGCCCAGAAGTCTCTTTCCTTAAAAAACTTTGATATACCATATGTACATAGTCTTCAATGATTAAAAAAAATTGTAGAATAAAAATAAATCTAGTTAGAAATATATCTGCTTCCCCCAAAGTTTACTTGAATTTAAAAGGCTTCCCTTCATCAAGACATCACTTTAGCTTAGTAGGAGTTCTTATTATGCACTGAAAATATGTAATTTGAGTTCTTGTCCACTAAACTGGTAACTGATTCACTAAACTGGTAAACCATTCAGAAATCAGCAATGCTATTTAAATTTCGATACATCATGCAATTATATATTATAGTAAATAACTGTATTAATTAAGTGTTCTTTTAAATCTAGTGTAATTCTTAGCTGTCAGTTTTATTTTAAACTATCATAGGGGGATATTTGTTATGATTGATTATAAATTACTTTTGCAAAAGGGCCATACCAGCGACGCGGCCATGTGGTTAAGACAGAGTCGTAGCTAGGGTTTTCAGCGCCCAGGGACAACTGAAGATTTCGTGCCCCCTACTGCTTGCCAAGATGGAAACATTTAATTCTAAAATGTAACATCAGTTTGGCGCCCCTTGTATTTTGCGTCCGGAGACAGATGCACCCCTTGCCCCCCTCTAGCTACACCCCTGGGTTGAGACCATTGAATGCTGGGAGTCGATCCCAGGTGAATGGACTGGCTGCATGGCTATTTTTCATAGCTTTTTTTTATGTATAACATAGATACAAACAAGGTGGCCATATAAAGTCCTCCACAAAGGCAACCCTTCCCTCGAGTGTTTTGCCATATTCAAATTACCTAGCCATCTTTTGCAAAATGATTTTTTTCCCCCCTAAATTTGAAATTTGTTGTTAAGAAACCTCCTGCCTGTAGATTTGAATGCTTTAGATGCATGTTTCTTGTTTACATATGTTTCGTAGTAATGAATAAAATAAAATAAAGTTTTTTAATGTTCTTAGTTGTTTTATTATACTGTATTAAGAGCTTAAAACTATTTAGCTGTTTACTTGTAATTTGATAACTGGTTCATTATATTTGGTTAGGGAGATTGTTTTATTTGGATCATGGGGGGGGGGGAAGTCAAGAAAATTAAAAATTGAATTTCATTTATGGCACTAAGCTGTGATAACCCAAATAAAATGAAATTTTTTATCTGTTTATTTCTAGCATTATGGAAAATGGTGGCAATGCAGGAAGTAGTTCAACATCTAGGAATTATCAGTTACCCTCATTTTCTGACTGTCTTCCACCAGTTGCCGATTACATACATGCAATTAAAGCAGATTCCATTTCGACGCAATGCTCAGAAATTATTGATCACTTCAGCATGGAGGTAGCTCAAGTTATTGCTCCTAAAACAGTTGTTAAGGTAATTTTTTTAAATAAATATATTTTAGTGCTCATTTAACCTGGCTTACATTTTCTTGGCAGCATTTTTTTTTCCACCAAAGAAACAAAACAGCAAAAATAAGCACCAAAGGTGAAATTAAAAAATAGTAGCTTAGAAAATTCACATTTGCTTCAAAAAGTATGCATGATGCACAAACGAAAAAATAATGTTAAATATTTTATTACATGCAGTAGTAAAAAAAATGGAAAAATTTTATTGTTTGGTTAACCAGTTAATCGTTTGCCCCGAGAGAGATACGTTGACAGGAAATGCATCATCATCCGTTAGTGTCGGCAGACTATCGTCGGGGTAAAATCTGGGCCAGACTGTAAACCCCGAGCCAGATACGTCGTAGTGTCCTTTTCCAGCTCCCCAGAATGAGTCGAAAATGAAAAGGGGTAATTGATAGATTACTTAGTCGTACTTACCTTCTCAGCGGTGTCGCATTAGGATCACAGCGGGGCTGTATCAGGAAAAGAAATCACGGGGAATCACTTTACACCAGTGGATACACCCTCAACAAATCTCGTGAGTTCCACAATAAATTCCTCCCTTTCATTAATGAACAAAGAGGTTTGAAGGTTTTAAATTCCTAATGATTCCCTGAGGATATAAACAGTTTATTATTTTCTGATCTATGAATTACATTTAAATGTTATACCTAATACCTGCATTTTATTTTATCATCTTACCTTCACACATGGAAATGTTTAAGTTTCATTATAACAATGTTGCGCCAATTATGAATGGCATTGGTGAAATGAAATTTTCAAAAATAATTTTTCAAAACTTTAATCATTAATTAATATTTTACATTTCAATCGATACTTTTATATATATATATATTTAAATCTGATTAATTGAGAAAACTACAGATAAAATCGTATAGAAATATGTAAATAAGAATAAAGTTCTGGTATTTTACAATGTATAATTTGTTATGCATAGTTCCCTGTTATTTATTTAATACTTACAGACTTATGTTAACATTTAAAATTTAATATTAAAAATTTAATGTATTTAAATTCTAATCCGCAATTTTATGTATTATTATCAGGGGTGTTTGTGCTCTGGGGAAACCCCAGAATTCCGGGGATTTTGAACTTCGATACCCGGAAATTCCGGGGATCGTCGTTCAAAAGGAAGTAGGAATAATAATGAATTATTTATTTTGATCTGGGTAATTTTGTTTGCTTTGAAAGCAGAAAATGCAAGGTCAGTGTGTGTGGTGAAAACTTTTCCTTTCTTTCTCCAAAGGCAGTGATAATGCGTGAAAAGGGGGAAAAAACTTCTTTTTTGTTCTTTCCTTATTGCGAGTTATGACTCATTCCCCCGGTTCTCGGACATTCTCTTCTGGATTCTTTTCGGCAAATAGGCACGGCAGAAAAAAAAGGGAGAGACTTCGTTCGACCACATGTGCGTTCACGTGACTCTGGGTTCAAAGGTCTTATCTCTCCTGGCTTGGCGCTAATAAGTAGAGAAGGGGGATTTTTCGCCGTATTAGCTATTTGTCATTGATCGCTTCTCAACTTTTTTTTCTCCGCTGTGTAAAATTTTTGTTTCATTTATTGATGCACGTGTAAATTTTTCGTTTCGTTTATTGAAATATTTTTTTATTTATGTACGTAAGAGAATTTCACTATGAAATTTCTCGATATAAATAGTGATATTATACAATTAGAAGAAGGTGTCCAGAATGCATTTAGGTGGAATTGGATTGAACGGAGAGATGGTAATGGGGATACCATCGGCACATGGTGCAAGAAAATAAATGTTGCTGGACAAGCATATTGTGTTTTTTGTAACTCACTGCTGAAGTATGGTGGGGAAGGATTCAAAGCTTTCACAAATCATTCTAAAACTGTGATGCACATAAAATATTCAAAGTGCATTAGACATTCAATGACTTTAAGTAATTATGCTAATTCAAAAAATACTGATGACTCACTGGAGACTGATGCTCGGCCATTGGATATAGTGACAAGAAAAGCACACCAAGAGGTATTAATAACTTGGTTTATCGCCGAGAATTCTCTTTCTTTCAATGTAGCTCCCAATTTAATTTAACTCTGCAAACAGTTGAGCCGCGATCAGACAGCACTAAACTCGTTGGAAATGTCCATGACTACTGCATGTTATAAGATGAAATACGGGCTCGCAAAAAACTATTAAGGAAAATATCATTAAAACTTTAAAGGAGACTCCATTTTCTCTAAATTTGGATGAAAGTACTAGCAATGAAGAAAGTATACTGGCAATACTGATGCAGTTTTATGACAAATGAAGTTGTAGTTCATCATTTTACATTTCTAAAGATAGAATCTTGCAATTCAGAAGCTGTTTTTAAAGCAGTTGTTAATACTATTGAAGATAATAATATTTATGGGCAAACTTAATTAGTGTATTAATGGACTCATGTAACACCATGCGTGGGAAAATAAAGGGTGTTGAAACCAGACTACGATCAAACAAAGCACCCCACTTATTAGATATTGATGGTGACACATGTCACACAGCTAATAACTGTGCAAAAAAAATTGCTTCATGTTTTGATAGATACTTAGAAGATTTGTTTGATGACATCTATTTTGATATGAAAAGCTGCAGTAAAAGAGAAAATTTTTTCAAAATCTGTGAATCCCTTGCCATTAAAAAACTTAAGCCCTTGAAGAGACCAGACCATAGGTGGGTGTACATTTTATGTGTTTTAGAAAGAATCAAAGATCTGTGGATTGCTCTTATTGCATTTTATTTTCACTATTTGGATAAAACTGATAAAGGGGATTATTTTTCTTATGTTGAAACTGTATACAATAAAAGAAATATTTCTGCAGCTCAGGAAAAAAGTGTTGAAGGGGTGTATTCTAGCTTGCATTCCCAATAACTCACAAAGGATGCTTTAGCTCGGAAAAAAAGAATACTAAATGGATTATTTGTTATGCAAAACAAAACTTCATTGCATATGGCATTATGTTCAGCAGTATTACCAGAGTTCAACACATATATTAAATTATTTGAAACAAAAAAACCAATGCTTCATTTAATACATTCCAGTATTTATAAATTGATGGCAAAAATTTTCTCTTTTTTTATGAAGCTAGAATATATAGAGTGCACATCTTATAATGATTTTTTAAAGCTTGATGTCACAAATCCAGAATTCCATCTACCTAGCAAAGTAATATTTACTGGTGCAGAAGCTTCCACTCTCCTGAAGAAATTATCAAAAAATCATCCAATAGCAAAAGAATTCCAAATTTCTGTGATGAAAGCTTATACTAATACAGCACAGCATATGAAACAGAAATTACCCCTTAAAAATTCATATCTAATTAGTTTTACAGCATTAGATCCAGAGCTAAGAGGTAAAACCAGTACAATATTAGCTTTTGAAAAATTATCATCTTTTATGTCCCATATTTTTAGTGATAATGAAAGGTCAAAAGTAGAAGCTGAAAAAGGTTATACCAGACTGATATTGATATCACCAAAGAAATGCTCTACACATCTGATGAAAGTGGAAATCAAGTCAAGTGTACAATTGATAAATATTGGTCTAAAGTTTTTAATTTAAAAGATGATTTCACAAATGATTATAAGTATCCTACATTGGCTAAATTGGTCAAAACCTGCCTTAGCTGCTTCCATGGCCCATTAGTGGAAAGTGCATTCAACTTAATGGATACACTTGTCACTGACTATAGAACCTCTCTTAAGATTGATTCCCTAGATGCAGTGCAGACTATTAAATATGATTTAATGGCTTCTAAAGAAACCTCCTGTGAAAAATATAGCTAAAAAAAAACCAATGACTGATTCAATTCACAAAGATATCTTACTGAATATGAACAGAAGTTGGAAAACATATCAAGAGGACTTAAAAACATGTATTTCAGATGAGTCACCTATAAAAGTCTCTGAAAAACCTTCTACATTAGCAGAAAAGCAAACTGCTTCTATCTCTGCATGTGCAGTTCTCGAGGAAATTTCTTCAACTGTAAATGAGGAAAATAAAAGTCAACCTTCCTGCAATTATGAAGTTCACCACAAAAGAAAGACAAGCCCACAAACATCAGAAAATAAAAAGCAGCAGCAGAAATTAGATAATTTTTTTTTAAAGAATTAATTCAGGTAATTTAAAATATTTACATAAAATGTAGTAGTTTATATGTTTGAAAATTTATGGTTATTAATTTTGCAAAAAAAAAGTAATTCATTGAACTTTTATAATTAGGTCATTCAATACTTCATAATTGTAATTTTTCATTCCTCTCCCCCCCTTCTCGAAACTCCAAAATGTCAGTAGTAAGCCGGTAAAAGTTTCAGGGGATTTTTTGGGGTCCCACAAACACCTCTGTATTATAACATTTAAAATATACGGGTTATAGTGTGAATGCTTCATATTTTTAACCTTCATGTTGTAGCGAAAATCGCTCTTTTCGACCGAGCTCCTCATAGCTTAGCGGAGAAGGCGCAGGACTCGAAACCCGAAAGTACCGGGTTCGAAACCCATCAACGGCAAGATGCCAGATAATTGTTTTTTTATGTAAATATCCTTGCTGTTAATGTTATCTTATTTATGTAAGTTTCCTTCTTATTCTTCCAAAACATTCCAAGTCTAAGTAGCTCTTCATTCAGTTCTAGTTAATAAAAAGTCTTGAGTTTAGACTTGTATTTGCCTGTTCATTTGTAGGATCCCCTCAACTACGCGACAATAAACCAAAACCTTGAAATAAACTTAGATAAGTATTTAGGTTCGCCTAATCTAATTTTAAGGACACTGGAAACTTTTTGTGTAGATAGTCTTGGAAGATACAATTCTTGAAGCTGTTTACTTAATATTAATGGAATTATAAAGATAGTTGCAACAGTTACATATTTAAAAATTAGAAATGGTAAAAAAATTGATGCTAAATTTTATTATGATTAATGTTGAATCTTCAGCCTAATTTAAAAAAAAAGAAGTGCCACTTCTCTAGTAATCTTTTTATCAAGAACAACTAAAAACGGTTACTACCTTCTTAATCTTTGAAACTGGTACTTTGCATAATGCAAACTTTCTTTGCTGTAGGAAAAGTACACTGGTGTGCAAAAATTAAGGCGAGATGCTTTTTTCAATATAACTTCGTACAAAAGCTTTCCAAATCAACACATTTAATACCGTAAGATCCCCAATACGTAAGGACATGAATAACGTAAGCAACACTTACTAAAAGAGAAATCAGAGGGATAAAAAGAAGCTTTATTGAAAAAGTAGCATGGAGCGCAATGCGACTGAAGGCCGAAACATCCCTGTGATGGGTGTCCAGCAAGAAACATCCGGTCTTTAATAGGGGATATGATCTCCCCTGACTGCTAGGCAGGTTTCACAGCGTCTGCCTACGCTGAGAATGAGGGTGTCAATGAGTTGTTGAGGCATTGCTGCCCATTTGTTTTGCAGCGCCATTCGAAGCTCCGGAATCGTTATAGGTGGCAAGGTACAAGTTGCCAAGCGTCTGCCTAGAAAATCTCATACATGCTCAATGGGATTGAGATCCGGAGATTGTGCCGGGCAATCCATACGTTCAATATCCTCACTATCTAAGAGCTGTTCGGCAGCTACTGTGCGATGACATGGTGCATTGTCGTCCATGAAAAGGAACTGCGGACCCATAGCGCCTCTAAAAAGACGCACATATGGAAGAAGAATTGCGTTACAATAACGGGTCCCGTTGACTGAACCTGCGTCGAAGATGTGAAGGTCTGTACGACTACCAAGCATGATGCCTCCCCAAATGAGAACACCGCCACCTCCATACCTATCCCTTTCAATGATGTTCGAGGGATGATTGCGGCTTCCCCGCTCTCTCCAGATGAGTATGCGATGAGAATCGCTACTCAGACTGAATCTGCTCTCATCTGTAAAGAGTACTCGTCCCCATTCATTGTCTCTCCAATTCCGGTGTTCCTGGCACCACATAGAATGCCATCTCCGATGAGCAGGCTTTAGAGGTACACACCGTACGGGGCGTCGTGCAAACAGACCACCACCGTGCAGTCTTCTGGCCATGGTAAAACGCGATATCGGTCTTCCAGTCGCCTGTGTCGTGTGTCTAGCGATTTCTCTCGCTGTCTGCCGCCTGTTTCTTCTGGCCTGTAAGGCAATATACCGGTCATCTGCGGGTGTGGTTCCTCGTGGGCGACCACTACTAAACCCCCGGATAGCTGTTCCTGTAGTTTGAAATTGTCTTCAAAATTGTGAAATGATGCTGTGAGCAATTCCGAACTCTGCAGCCACACTTGTCACACTGCGGCATTTCTCTAACTTCCCAATGATTCGACCTCAGGTAAAAGCATCCAGATGTCGTCTAACAGATTGATTATTCGCCGTTTCTCGCTGAGGCAGCAACTCGGTGTGATTTTAACTGCTATACAGAGTGCAATCTCTTTGCAAGAAATACTGATCTTACATGACAACATGCTTTATACTACTCGGGCACTCCCCCATTACGTCTACCTGCATATCTGCGCATGTGCTACCATACATCACCTTACTTAATCTCCTGATTGGTCTTTCTGTCCGCTCTGCCTCTTCGTTCAGCTGATATGCTAATTTTTCAACTTAGTCCTTAATTTTTGCACACCAGTGTACAATAGCCTAAAAAAAAAACTCTTAAGTTAAATAACTGCAATTTTAAATCAGAACCTTAAATATCTAAGCTTAAAGATTTTTTTTCCATATAAAAAAACAAATTTTAAATTAAATATATAAAAATGTACAGGAAATAATTCGATCATTAGTTTTGTTACAGTGCATCAAGAAAATAATTAAACAAAATTAAGGATATTTCAAATAGCCAATACTAGCTAATGAATTTATTTTTACTCCAATGAACAAAGCTTTTACTTGTCATTTAAAAATTTCATTTACATTGTAAGAGATTGCAATAGATTTTGGGTTCGTACAAGAAGTGAAGTCAAAGCGAAAAATATCTGATGTAAGTGATACACCGGTCTTTGTGTTTACGGTTCTCGTTAGGGGGGTCCTTATTCAGTGTGCTTGAGTGTGACAAGTACACTGTCAAGTTGATTTGAATAGAACTTCGAAAAAGAGCCTCACAGCTGGTGAAAGGGGGGAAAGAAATAGTCTGAGGCCAGTTTTGAACACAAAAAATTTATCTTTGCAGGAGAAAAATGGTAACGATATTTTTGCATTTCCCATTTTTTGCAAAAAATTTTCACTTTTTTTTTAGGTGACATTCTTGTTGTCCAATTTCTTCTGTAAGTTTTGGGAACATAAGTCTTTACTGTCATAATTGCCTCTTCCTCAAATGAAGTTTGTTTTCTGTAATTTTATTTTTCAGGTTATAAGGTATTTTCTCCCTCCTTCCAGCTGCCTTCGTGGTGTAATGGTAGCACACTTAGAGTGTATTCGAGAGGTCCAGGTTCGAGTCTGGCGAGGGCATTGCACATTTTTCACATGTTCTGCTTCAAAATAATCTAATGACGCTACAAGTTCTTGAGTCAGTTTTGCTTTTTCTTGGCTATCAGCAAGTTTTTCCGATTTTTTGACAAGCATATCAATCTCTGATCTCTGCTTTTAATGTATCACAAAGATTGCAATTGTCTTTTCTTCGGTAATGGAATCTGGTCTTAAACTTAGAATTAAAAATATCTCTGAATTTATCGTATGGCACTAGATTGTCCATTTTGTACATATAATGTAATTTTATGATGTTTAACTCTTTCAGAAGGTAACTTACCCTTTTTAAGGAATAATGAAACTTTGTTCTCTTGAGGGAGCTGATAAACTCTATTATTTTAGAAATATTTTTCTCTGGAACTGCAATGTTTTCAGATTGTATGTTATCATCTGCAATCTAGTGGAGCTTTTCCATCAATGGCCAAAGCTTCCCTTATATTTTTAACCCAATTTTTGTAATACTATGGAATGAAGCAAAGGCATTTATCCAAGCTTAGACATCATTACATTACTCATCTTGGAAACAATATACTCAATAAAAATAAGCTACATAGTGTTAAGATCCCAAACAAGAACATCGATACAAAACGTTAGACTAGCAAGATAATGATTACGGTATTACAATTCAACATTAAAAGTTTTGAGAATTCGTTAACTTCACTATCACAGATCAAAGAAAAATATTGAAAAAAGTATGCACTTACATTCTTATTAACTCATGGGGGATTGTTTTTAAATCTTTCATAACAACATGGATTCTCCTTGTTTTCTTCTTCTTCATAACAGAAAACTTGGCCACTGAATCAGAGCCTGAAGTGGAATTTAAAATGGATGAAAGAAACCAACAGGTCATTATTATAATAGACAAAAACGAACATGAATAAACCTGTTAAAGGAAGGTGGCTATCAATGTTTCACTTCTCTTGGCATGTGGACAGAGATTGTTTTTCTCCAGTATGCAAAATCTTTCCTCAGCTATGGTTACGGACATGAATACTTTTTCTCCTGAAGAGATTCATATTGTAGAAGCTACTTCTGCTGCCCGCTAGATGAACATTATTACTTCAGTTTTTATAAACAAATGTACATATATGGTTTTCTCTTTGCATCTGCATTCATTTTATGAAATGAGGGTTTTCTACATAGTGCAAAATGATGCAGTTTTAGCATAAAAAATTTAACCTATTTCCTAACTTACATTTTTGAGAGGAAGGTGTTTTATTATATTGTGCACCATATATTTGAAGCAAATGATGAAGAAAGTGTTTTTTTTTTTTTTTTTTTTTTGCTAGAAGTGTTAAATTGGTGTTATACCATTCTAAAGGAAGTTGGGTATTCTCTGATTACCTGCAACCTCTTCTTAATAATTCACCAGCTAACTTTTCATTAAATTAAGATACAAAAGACAGCATCCATTTTCAAAAATATTACAGCACTAATTACATATAACAATAATCAATTAACAAATTAAAAATGCTAAGAACATCTATAATAAAACACTTGGCTTTTATTTTAGCTTTAGTACTTAGCTAATAAAACACTTAGCTTTTATTTATTTAATTATTTATTTTTTGTGTTGTTCTCCCCATGTACACAGCAATCTGTTTTTGCTTAAAATAGCATCAGAGAATTGCAAAAATTTGGCTTTTCATATGGTTTTCCTATGTGCACTGTGATCTGTTTTCACTTAAAACAGCAACAGAGAATTGCACAAATTTCACACTGCACATGCTGTTGTTTTCCCATTGCATAAATTTGGCATCGATGCACAAGTATTGATTATGAAATACAGCTTCATGGAATGTGAATTTGTTTGTTATCTGCTGTTAGTCAAAATGCAATATTTTTGAGGAAACGAGAACATCTACATAATGCTTTCTTTTCTCTGAGCTGGCAAGAATGGATAGTTCCTTTCTCAATCCAACAAAAACAGTGATGTCTATCTTCAGTGCAACAAAAACAAATACTGATGACTGGGGTTTGTATGCTGCATGTACATGCATATCTGAGTTGCCACACAAACACATTTTGGCAAATTTTGCCTGCTTTAGTGACATAGAGCATTGCTTCATGAATACTTTTCAGGGGAGTGTAGTTAATCAGAAAGTAATGAAAACCATTTGGCTTGTGTTGACCTGTAATTGAAAAGATCCTTTGGTTCTACTGTAAGCCATGAATAACTGAAATTATGAGTACCAAATCAATGAGGAAATACGACTGTGTATTCTTAAAATTCCATTGTTTATTACATATTGACGTCATTCTTTTTTTAGGTAGTTGAAGATTTAAGCCATCAAATTTGTAAATATCACTCCTTAGCTCTTACAATTGGTACAAATGTAGATGGAGAATCTTTAAGGCAAGAACTGCTTGAAAGACAGCAGAAGGCCTGTGATACTGTACTCTCTACAACAACACAATTGTCTGACGCCTTCAGGAGGTTGGTTCAAGTTTTTCTGTTGTGGTTTGGAATTCATCACTTGTTACACATGTTGACTGTTTTCATAATGATTTTGAAATTTTGATTGTTTTGTTGTTTTAAAATGTTGTCTTGTTTCAGTTTTGAAGACTCGTGGATGAATTTATTATTTCTTTTTGCATTTTGGTTGTATGGTTTTGATTAATTGGCATGCATGTATAGGTATATGTTTTATATACTTAAAAAAATTTATTTTCTAAGTATAGATTATAACTTCTAGTTTGTAAAAGTATTAATAATTTTTAGAGAGCTGAAAAATCAGCAGTGTGTATGCATTAAATAATTAGTACTGAATAAGAGTGTGCATAAATTAATTACTTGGTAGTCCAAATTTCTAATTTGTAATCACGTATAATTTTGTAAAGGAACATTAGAAGGTGTAGTTAGATTCATATGACATAATATGTACAAGATGCTTTAGAAATATTGACTGCAACTTTTTCCTTCGAATTATTGGAGCTAGATCTGTATTTCTTGTTTCAAATATATTGCAAATGACATAACAATTTGGTCATTAACAATTGGATTTGTATATGAGAGTTATTTGCATACAGATAATTTATATTAATTCTTCTGGCTTCTTTTTAATAAAATATTCAATTATAAAGAATATATTTAATTTTTTAAAAAATGCATTGAAGAATTTCTTTATTTGTACCACTGTTCTCAATTTTTACAAGTTGGAATTTTTGGAAATATATAAAAAACAGGATTCATTTGGTCTTTAAAGTACTTAGGTTTTTTTTTTTTTTAAATGATTTTTGGTCCTTTTAAGTCCTTAATTTTGGTCAAAACCAGCAGAAGGTCCTTAATTTGAATCATCTGACATTTCTGTTCTTTCTCCTCCCAACTACTGCCATTTTGAGTGTGAATTAACATTTTGGAGGAATATGCTTTGGTGATGCATTGAAAAATATGTATTTGATGGGTTAACATTTGAATTCTTTTCTATTTCTTAATAAATAGTGGACACTTGAGTTTTAGTCACAAGGCCCTGCCTCGAATGGAACATAAACTTTTGAAATAATTACTTTTTTTTTTTTTACAAAAGAAGAGTTTTTAAAATATTACATCAAAAAAACTTTTCCTTTTTGAGATATGAGTTCTTTTATTATGCAGCACTAAATTTGACAATTTATCAACCTTTTGGTGATGTCAAGATCTAATTTGTAAGGAAAGTTTTTATTTGGAGATTTGATGGTTTTTTTACAAACAATAATATTGATAAATATCATAAAAACAATCGCACATTAAAATTTTATTTAAAAAAATAACATTAAATTGAAACATTTTTATTTTCTCCTGCCATATTTTAAAATATTACTAGCCACTTTGGTGACGTAAAATTTGGAATCTGGAAAATAAACAAGATAATAAATGCTACAAAGCACTGTTTTTGAAACACTTTTTAGAAAAGATAAAAATGCTGCTGGAATTATTTAAAAATTAGTCTTTTATATTTTTGTTCCCCTCTGTAATTGTTTTATAATATTTAAATGTGTAGCAGTTTTTCTTGAAAATTTACTTTATACATCTCATTTTTGAATTTTGCAAAATTTTGCTTTGTTGGTAGAAATTATTTTTCTTTCAGTTTTTATAGCAGGAATGGTGTGAAGGCAATATTTATAGATTATTATTTTGAAGGCAAGGTTTACAGACCTAGAAAAATGTGAGGCATTGAGAAGTGTCTTCATGGTATTAACATGTAATAGACATGTTTTATAGGAAATTTGTAATCAGTTGTCTTTTGATAAGTAAAAAAAAAAAAAAAAAAATAATAATTATTTGAATTTTCTCCTTTTGATACCAGAAATTTTTATCTTAACATGTTTATTTTCCCCTTATTTTCTTATCTTTCTATTAGGCACAAGCATTGAAGCAATCAAAAGGGGGGGGAAAGAAAAGGGTTGATTTGTTAAGATTTATCATATATGTCTGTGTTCACCTTACATGCCTCAGTGCCTGCCTTAAATTCTAAAACTTTTGCCCCAAATTTTGTCGCTTTGTGCTTCATTAAATTCTAAAAATTCTGCCATACTGACTCTTGTGGCAGCCTTGATCTTATATCTTTTTATATTGATTCTGAATACTCTTATTATTAATAAATACTCCTGTTATTTAATTTATAATTACTTAATTATTAATAATACTTCTATTATTTTATTATGTGAATATTCCTATTAAAAATAAAAATAGAAAATAAATATTAAAATAGAAAATATTTTTTTCCTGTTTTTATTGATTAACAGAAATAATTAAACAGGTTTTGTTTTTAGTCTCTCAGTATGAAAGTATCACTGACTAATGAGCTATAATATTAATGCTTGAAAATTAAAGGTGCCTGGCTTAATATTCAGTATTTATTTTTTTAAAACTATTTTGTAGAATTTTTTGAAGTGTATGTTTGTAACCATTTTATAATGTTTTCATATATCTGATGAGTTATTATAATTAAAGAAATTCAACATGAATATGTTGACATATTGTGAAAAATGAGATTAAATTTATTTAAAAAATCATTTTCAAACAAACATTCATTCAACATCTACTGTTCGTAAGTTCTGCACAAATCATTTTCTGTTGTGTAATTTTGTTCTGTGTATAATTTCTTTCTTTCCCTTGGATTCTCCTATTCCTCTACTCTACTGATTCCTCTACTTTTCAATGCATGATAGTAACAGTCGTATTGTTTTCCCAACTTAGAAGTTCCCTTAACTTTGTTGCAAGGATTTGTGCTGTTTGGAAATTGCTTGGTAATTATGATGTTATATATGTTAGTGGAATGTTTGAGGCTAAATTATAATTATAGTGATACTTAAAATTTTCGAGTGAATGGTACCTCATTTCTACCCAAGTGAATTTTTGTATTTTGTATTTAATAATGGTAAAGTGCATTTAAAAGTTTATTAAGCGTTTCATGTGATAAAATTCATTTCTTTCATGTACACACGTTAAAATAGCATATTTAAAAAATCATTCATTTATGTTAATTTAAACCATTTTGTACTTGAAAAGTACATATGGGATAATAAGACCTAAATGCTGTATGTAAAGTTACTTAATTAAAAAGGAAAAAACACAAATTGGAATTTTTTTGATTGATGCTGATTTGAAAATTATTTGAAACTCTTCTAAATGTGACTTGTGCTAAAATCATTACTCTTTTGCTATTTTTAAAGTTTTAAACCATCATTTCTATTGGGATACTTAGTGAAAATTAAGTCATAGGTAAGAAAGTACCACATAAATTTAGTTCATAGAATAGAGTATTTTGAAATATGTGATTTTTTTTAATTTGATATCCAGTACATTATTATGTACACTATGCTCATGGTAGGAAAATAAATTGAATTCAACTGCATTACTGTTTTTTTTTTTTTTTTTTTTTTTTTTAACCTGAGCTATTTAATGAATTGTTCAAACCTTTTTTTAAATAAGAAATAGTAATGTGTGGATTTTAAACAGATAGTCTGTTATTTGTTTTAAATTAATGGTTTTGAATAAATTTAAAACCATTGATGTTAGTGAATGTTATGAAATGAAGTTGTTAAATTCAAAATTATACGTTTTCAATTTTGTACAGAATGTAGGTATTTGTTTTAGATATTAGTAAAATTGAATTGCTATAGTAAAAAAGTTAGTAATTTTAAGTGAATATTTTATAAAAAATAGGTAAGAAAGTACCACATAATAGGTAAGAAACATCATAGGTAAGAAAGTACCACATAATGTAATGGCACCTGAACTAAAATGTAGTGGACCGTTTCTCAAAACCTGGATTTGATTAACTGGGTTTCTGTGCTTCTTGCAGGTCCTTCTTAATGGGAACAAATAAACAAATTTTTGCATTTTGTTATGTGTGCTGCAGTGATATAAGTGGTTAGCACATCTAACTAATAATAAAAAGATCTGTGGTTTGAATTATGGCAAGCACACAATTTCTCACATTTCCTGGATTTAAAAAAACCCAGTGGTCCTTATAGTAGCCCCCAGACTAAACCATAATAGACAATAACTCACCAGCATCTGGATTTGGTCGATTAAGTCTTCTATGTGTTCCCAATCAAATATTAAGCAGAGAATAATATAAGGAACTTTCCCATCTCCCATGCAACCAGGCACTGCCACCAGCATTTCCAGGGATGATATAATACACAAGTATAAAGTATATTTCCTTTTGTGATGTTAATATAAATAACCTGTCAAATCTTTGTTGTGAGGTTATTGACAAATGAGGTATTGTAGTATGTTTTCATAAGAAAGAAATGCTTTCTTCTGAAGATGTTTTAACAGATCTTCTTGTTTTGTAAGCTTACTAAGAAATTAGTTATTTTTAAGTGTGAAGAATACTGAATTCTGCAAGGATTCTTATTAACATGGAAGATTATATTTTTACCGTATGCACTGTTTTTAAGATGTGTCTGGTTGAGCCTTTAACAGATACAAGATATAATTTATCTGAGACCTCAAAAAGAGCTCTTTTTTTTTTAAATTTTTGTATTGCAGTTTTAATAGATGCAGTTATAATGTTCTAGAGTACCTTAAAGATAGGCAGATTCAGCCATATTGTTGCAGCTTCAATTAGATATAATGCTGTCTGGAACATTAAGAATAGACAAATTCTGCCTTACTGTTGCAACTTTAGTAGATGCAATATTGTTGTCTGTCTTTATCTATCTTAATGTTGTAGCTTCAACAGATGCAAAATTAAATTATAACTTTTTGTTTACTGAATCTCATGAGGATTGTTCATTAGCATGCTTTCTTCATATTTTTGAATTTTCCCATTGATTCTGAAAAACCAGTGGAAATTCCATTAAATTTGTGCCATTCATCTGGTGGAAGTTTGGACGAACAGAATTTTCCTTATTTAGTAATTGCAGATAACTATTTAGTTATTTAGGTAATTAAGAGACCTGAGTTCAGATATAAAAAGTACCAAATTTAATAAATATGATCTC